CTGCTGACTTCACGTCCCAGCTGAGTAGATCTCCAGTGAATTACATTTTAATGACTTTTAAAATAGCAGGCCTGTAATTAAAAACCCAAAATCTTTTTGAGACATCAACAGTGATATATCATTACTAGTGCTGTAAGAGACACGATGTCCCTAACTGAACAAATCTGTTCGAGGACAGTTTGTGAGGTGGCTGGAGAAAATGAAATTGCTGAAATTGGTTGAGGAAAAACCTAAAACTCCTAGTAATGGATGTACTGTTGATACCGACTGCGGGCACTCTTCTGGGCCATTCTAGGCACAAAAGTGCTATTTAAATGCACTGGATGTGTTTGTTATTCATTAATAAAATTTTGGCTAGGGTTACCAGAAAACTTTTCAGTTTATGGAAAAAGAATAAGGTACTATGTAGGACTAGGGCTCTCCCACTTACCAGCTGTGGATTGTAATTAGCAGACAAGGCTACTTAAATGCTACTGTGTCCCAGTGGTTCCTTTGTGTTTTGTTTGTTTGTGGGGAAAAAAGGAAGAAGAAACAAAGTGTAATTTTGAGAGAGACTTGTTTTTCCATCTGACTTGCATAATGGCAGATGCATGAGTAGAAGCAGAGAAGAGCTGATTGTGAGTTCTCCAGTGAGACAGTCTCTCAAGAGAGAACAGTACATTTTGTCACTGGGAAATATTCACTTTTAACCAACAAAATTAACCTTAAAAGATGTTGTTTGGTCTCAGGCTGACAGAATGGATGTTGCAGTGAAGACCCTTGGCCTACACTTAGCCCTTGGGGAGGGAGGGAATGCATCAACCCTGCCTGTGATTCTCATATTTTTGCAAAGCTAAAATTTTGTTTTCACTTCTTCTGTTTTATTTTCTCCTTTTTCCTGTTTATAAATAAAACTTACAGCAGTTTGCTGTGATTTTACTGCCCAAAATGATGTGCATTTCATTTTGTAAATAGTTTCGGTAACAGCTGAAATAAGTATGTTCATTTCTTCAATGAGAGCACAGTTATGGTGACTGAGGTACTGAAGGTACTGAACAGGTTGGGCTCTCTGCATAGGCAGATTTGTACATCCTGAAATCAAACTGGGAAATTGTGATTGTGAGGATGCTGCTCCAAATGACAACAAAGGTGTACTCTGGCATTTGAATCAACAATACCATTTCACTAGCCACCCTGGGGGCTCTTCTGCTTGGGAAAAACAGCAACTGGAAAGAGGGAATCATAGAGTCATAGAATCATAGAATCATAGAATGGTTTGGGTTGGAACCAACCTAAAGATCATCTAGTTCCAACTGCCCTGCCGTGATCAAGCTATCGAGAAGGTGGGCCATGTATTTATTTGAACTGCTTGGTTATGGATATGACTGTGTTGCCGTTGCAGGAAGCAGTGCAGGTATTGATTAAGCACTCGGCTGATGTCAATGCCCGGGACAAGAACTGGCAGACACCGCTGCATGTGGCGGCTGCAAACAAGGCAGTGAAGTGTGCGGAGGTCATCATCCCCATGCTGAGCAGCGTCAATGTCTCTGACCGAGGCGGGCGGACGGCATTGCACCATGCAGCTCTGAATGGCCACATTGAGGTGAGGTCTTTAAGAGCGTACTTGATCATTGGTGTGTTATTTCTTTTCCCATTTCAAAAAGCTGACTTGCTGTGGCTGGGTCTAGACTGAGTCCAATGTGCCTAACCCCCACGATTCCTATCGTTCAGCTGCTTTCCAAACTGTGTGACAGGTTTCCTACATGCAGAAATGGCACAGTGGCTGGGAAGTACCTGCGCAGAGCCGACATGTAAGTGAGGTGTGCCTGCAGACCTGGAGAGCTGTGTGACCACCTCTGGCAGCTCGAGTGTGTCCTTGGCGCTTTTGAGCTTGACTGCCTGTGAAAATAAGAGTGGCAGAATGGAAAGACAGGAAAACTGGTGGATTCATTTCACACTGAAGAAATGTTCAGTTCTGTGAGATCCAGTTGGTCTGCTTTTCTAATTAGTCTACTAGAAAATCTGCTTCTGGTTTCTCTACTTATCTTATACAAGCAAACCTTTCTAGTCTAATTACTGTTTCTGTTTGAAAAAAAGCATGCTTCTGTAAATAAAGCCCCTGTGTAAAGGGTTTTGCTAGCATCTTTAGATCCGGGTGCAAGGATCCTCGTTTGCCCATTCCACACCTGAAGATCAAGATGTGAAATAAAAACACTTAGACTGGAACAACATTTGGCTTCTGTCAACAGAAGTTGATCAGCTGTATTGTAATTGAAAGAAGGAAGAGGAATGGTAGTTCCCATAAAACGATAATGGTGTTTGGCCTTTAAAATACTGCACTGTAGGAAAGGGATAGTAATGCTTGAGTCTAGCTGTTGCAATGTGAAGCTCCTGAGCTTTCAGATGGATCATATCAGAAATGTTAACTGACTATATGCTGGCATTAGCTCATCTCTGTGGCAAAGCAGTGTATGAGAGGAAGACAACCATCCAGCTCTGTAATTTACTGTTTTGGAATGTTCATAGATTCATAGATTTCTAGGTTGGAAAAGACCATAGAGATCATCGAGTCCAACCATCCCTAATCCCCTTTAAACCATATCCTCAAGTAGATCATCCAGCCTATTCTTAAACACATCCAGGGATGGGGACTCAACCACCTCCCTGGGCAGCCTGTTTTGCTGAAAAAGACAGTTGTCGAATATGTTTTCCATTCAGTTTCCTTTCATTTTTCCCCTGATTTTTCTTACGTTTAATGTTGGATGAGTGGCAATGGGGCAAGCAGCTTTCCACCTTTTAGTCACGCTGTCCGAAAGGCCAGTGTCGTATGCGAAGCAGCCCTGTACATGTCCACTTTGCCGTGGGAACGTAAAAATCGCCGCGGCCTGGCAAGAAGTAGATACTCCTTGTTGAATGATCAAGTGGTTTTTAAGAGTGTTACCTCATGGTCTGGAGGAATCTCGTCCCAATCCACAAGAAAACCCCTTAAATTGGTCTTAACAGTAAAAACTAAGAGCAATGCTTCTCTTCCAGGCCTGCTTCTCTTCCAGGTTGTTTGCCAAGCTGAATGTGAAGCACACTGACGTAGCAGCACCATGCATGCTCTCAGCCCCCATTGGGACTTCTTGTCCTGGTTACTTGTGGCCATCACAGGTCCATGTCATTAACGCACACAGCTTTGAACAGTATTTGTGTCATTCACAAGTTCATCATTCAAAAGCAGGATTTTTGTGATCTCAACTTTATTGCTAGAATGATTTGTTGTGAACTGCTGAGTGTGTGATCTACAGGGTTGGTTTACCTACTGTTGTTACTTCTAGATGGTGAACTTGCTCTTAGCCAAGGGAGCAAACATCAATGCTTTTGACAAAAAGGACAGAAGAGCTCTTCACTGGGCAGCCTACATGGGTAAGGCTTGGGCTGTTGCTCCTCCTTTTTAATTTTCTATTCACAAACCTACAGCGTGTTTTAAAATGGACAAGAGCAGACCTGGCCATGCAAAGCGAGCATTGTATTTACCTTGAAGAGGGAAGGGTTCAGCTGATATGCATACGGACTGTCCATTTATGATTTTGCATCTGGTGAGAACTTGGCTGTGGTTTCCTTTTAACACAGTTAATTGTGGGCTTTTTCTGTTGCTTTTTTCATTTTGGTCTTTTTATCCTGACTGTAATTCCAGCCTGAAATATATTTGGGCTTGAAAAAATGCAGGTTATATTTGTTTCAGTTTTTGCTAAAAACTACTTTCCATAAAATGCAGATGGATATGATCATAAATTTTGCTGTTTATCTGTGTTTATAAGTAGCTAAGTTATGATATTGTTACGAAGTGCTTCATAGGCTTTCTTCCTGTTAGGAGCAAATTGTCGTCTTTTGTTCCAGAGTGGACAAGAGCAACCAATTTGTCTATTCAGAACATCAGTGGTGTTACCAAATACTGCTTGATTAAATCGATTGACCTTATTGTTCCTTTGAAGTTAAAGGAAAATTTCCTATAGTGGGGCATTATAATTTAAAAATACTAGAACAAGATTGCCTGTGATAGTGGTCACACTTGTTCAAAAGCTTTTGTTGGCCAAGCAGTATAATCCAGATTATAATTTGTGAGGTGTTGTGTGCCCTTCGCCAGGAACTCTTTCATCTGACCTGTCAAAATCTTGATTGTAATCCTGGCACTTTTGTAAATGAGATAATAGGAGATTTCAAACTGTGAGAAAAGCATATTGTGTGGTTTTTTGATATACACAGACAGATGGAAAGACTCTTGCCAACGAATGTGATTTGGCTTTTGAGCTAGTGAGCTTTGAACTCCACTCTGTAGAGGTGAAAGGCTTTTACATTGTGTGGTGCAATTCCACATCTCTCTTGCTCTTAGTTCTTTTCAGAAATTCGTGATGTACTTTTCAAAATATTTAGATAACGTTTAAGGCCTAAATTAGCAATGAGATTTAGGAGTCTGTAGTATAATTTGGACAGAATTTAGATAATGAGACCCGAGCATGTTATCCTGTAAACCCTCACATGTTTTCTTGAGTGCTTAAATATCTTTGGGCACTGTGGTTTTTGTCCATAAAGTTTCCTAGGTCTTGCACATGACCAGAGCTGCCTCTGTCATGAAAGAGCTCTACAACTCAGATGGTGAACCACTTTATATGGTGCTTGACATAATAAATTTTTAATTCTGAGAAAGACAGCTCTGTTTCAAGATGAAGCCATAAGGACTATTCCTCAGTTAGCCTGGATTTAATTTCGGTAGTTAGGGCACTCTCTGGGAAGACAGGCCAGATGGTTTGAGACCTTCAGGCAGAGGAGGAAACTGAAGGTACAGGTAGGTTATAAATTGCGTTCTCAGATGCTCAGCTTTTCCCCAGTATTCTGTAGGGAGATCCTGATTCTCAGGGGTAGGCATTTCACACCTGAAGACAGATGTCCCATCGATCTGGTGGTCAGCTCTCAATCTGTGTGACTATCGAGGCTGTTGCAATTGGTTTAGCTTGCAGACTAAGTATGTGGGTATAGACTATGGATTCAGATTTAAACATTTTTAGACCTGTATTCAGGATTTTTTACACAGTTTTGCAGTAATGATAGAGTTTCGGAGAGTCAAAAACCTGGTCCAAAGATCATGAATTCAGTAGAAAGTCTGGTGTTTGTATTGGTAGGCTTTGGATCAAATTCTGCACTAACTTGAAATTTAGTTTTCTGTGTCCTCAATGGTGCTAGAAAAGAGGATACCTTCATTTTATCGTTTATTACAGTTATTTTTTATTGCTAACAAAAACCAACAAGTGTTAGCAGTTGTGCTTGCAGATGACATCAACAGGATGCTGTTCTGGGAGGCTTGTATTGTCATGCTCCTGTGCTCACTGTTCTTTCTGTAACAGGGAGAATGAAACACAAACTGTTATTTTTCGAGAAATAGATGGGAAAGAGGCGTGGTTTTGTTCTTTTAATGACTGGAAAACTAATTCAATAAAGAGAAATTTGACACATCTGGTGAAGGTTAATGCATGGATTTCTTGACAAGGCCTGGAGCTAGGATTAAGAACACTTACGAAAATGCCTTTTTATCCCCTGTAAAACTGTGGGAGCACTGTAAAACAGCAGTGAAAGGGGCAGTGCATTAGCAAGAAAGCAGTAATTTGGGAGATGCTGATGCTGTAGGATGGTGTACTCATTGATTACTATCTTTCATCTTTTGAAGGTCACCTGGAAGTTGTTGCCTTACTGATTAATCATGGTGCAGAAGTGACTTGTAAAGACAAGAAGGGTTACACCCCACTTCATGCAGCTGCATCCAATGGGCAGATTAACATTGTGAAACACCTCCTTAACCTGGGGGTAGAGGTACGTAGTAATGTGCTCTTCGTGGCTTCCATGTTTCTCCATGCGGGGATATATTATTTCTTCTTATGGATGCTGCTACAGACATTGGCAGAGCTTCTCAAGAAAGTAGTTCACGTTTTCTGAACCGCCTTGTGCTTCATGTGGTTTATTGGTTCAAGAGCCAGGAAACATGGAGTAAAAACATGGAAACAGGAGTAAAAAATGTCTGATATGGACAGTAAGTTCCAGGCCACCTTGCTGAAGAAATCACAAAATACATGCTGTTCCTGCAGAGGAAGATGGAATAGTGAAGTTTCCCTTGGCTTAGCATTCCCTTTGATGTGATGAGTGGTAGTTCTCAACGTGTACTCACTGTGTACTTTACTAGACAGCAGTTCAGGCTGTTTAAGTTTAGGGACCTGTATTTCCTCTGTAGCTGACAGAGGGAAGGAAAAAGATTGTTTTCACTCTGGAAAAGAAGTTTTTTCAGGGCGCAGGCTTCTCTCAGCGTAATAGTGTCAACTCAGTGGTTCAAAGCATCAGTGAGATGACCAGAAGAGCCTGCACTGGTTAATGAGAGGTGTCAAATAAAGCCATTGCATTTGCCATTGCATTTTCAGCTGACTTGACCTGCCAAAAAAATGTCAGAAGTCCATGTTCACAGGCTGTTGACTGTGAAGTTGAAGGGGTATAGGTGTTTCCTATTATTAGCAGTGCTATGCTAATAACTACCTTTCAGCAAACTTCCACATTCTCCATCACTGAGGATATGATCTTGAGATGCTTGTATTTCGTGGAGGGGTATTCATGTCATCTCCAAGTCTTTTGTATAATCTGACTTGTTCTTTTTTACGGAACAGCACTTGGATACTAAGCTGTTCATCAGGAAGTAACATAATCTTAATTACATCTTTATAACACTGAGCTACTGAAAGTGGTTTCTTATTGAAGTGTAAATGGCTGTACAGTTTCACCTTCCCTGCACTCAGACACTTTCACTCCCTTCCCAAGATAAATTTTTTGAAAAAGCTCTTAAGCCTGATTCTGTTCACAAAAATTCAGTAGTCGGTATTTTAATTTTTTTTTTTTGTAGTAAAGATAGTGAGCTTTTTATTTATCCTACTTTCCCACTTATATGTAAAAGCTTTCCAGCTTGTTAGGACTTTTGTCACCTTCATCATTGTTACGTAGTCCTGCTGTCAGCTTTAAGTTTCATACTGGCTTTTAGAAATTGCCAGTAGGATAAAAAGTTAATAACAGTAAAGGTAAAGCATTCCAAATTAAGCTCTCTGGGAGTGTATTTTTGTCAATGAAATTTGCTGGTGAGAAATATGCCCTATGACAGTTCAAGCCTCCAGCTATTTCCATTTGCAGTACGTGATGCATTATGTAAAATGGTAAGCCAATGTCTGTAACTTTCACTGTGTCTCCTTGTCTCATTTTAGATTGATGAAATGAATATCTATGGAAATACTGCACTTCACATTGCCTGCTACAATGGTCAGGATTCTGTTGTTAATGAGCTGATTGACTATGGTGCTAATGTAAATCAGCCTAATAATAATGGATTCACTCCCTTGCATTTTGCTGCTGCCTCCACTCACGGAGCATTGTGTCTTGAACTACTAGTGAATAATGGAGCAGATGTTAACATTCAGGTAAAACTCGCATTGCTGCTCTTCAGTTTTACTTTATCCTATTTGCATACCTCAGGAGACTGAAACTATAATAACGAGTACAGTATGGCTTTAAATCCTTGATGAAAGTAGAGTGATGCTGAGAATGTTGATCATTAAACTGTTTGGGTGAGATTACTTCCCAGCAGAGGGGCTCTCGGTGCCCTGATAAATATATTGACAGCTTTAAAGTCTAGGCTAGCCACTCTCCTCAAAGCATGAACTGCTACTAAAACAGAGTCCCAGCAGCTCTGTCAAAATGTTGTGTCAGGGACTGGTGGTAAGTCAAGGGACTATTCCTTTCTGGTGTTTTCCGTCCCCCTACAATCTGGATGTAATTAAACCTGATTCTACAAAGTTCCTTTCGACTCCAGGGGAAGTGAGAACTGAAGGTTGATTGTTTACCTATTTTAGAGCCTGAGTTTACAAAGTCCAATTCTGTTTAGGATATGGGAATGCTCTTGAGATACAATTGATACGTTTTGATGAAGCTGAAACGGACTTGCTGCCATCTAACCGAGGGTGCTGGTATAGGTACCAGAAGACTTGAGATCTCTGAGTTCATATAAGATTTTGACTGCTTTACTTTAAACTCCGTATGTTTCAGTTTCTCATCTGTAAAACTGGTCTTCTAGCATTTAACACCTCGGGCAAATCCCTTGAGATTAGTGAATAGTCAGTGCACTATTTAAACTCACTATTATTAAAATGAAATTAGAGATTGTGCTTGTCAATGAATGCAAAACCCCATGCCAATAAACACAAAGTGATATGAGTAGTGAGGCTGGTACCCTTTCCTCACTATTTTCTCAGCTTCTCGGCTTCCCCAATCTCAGTTTCTTTCTCTAGAACCCAAAACATTGATTTCTACTGTCACTGCTGTTTTCTAATTGTCTTTTGTAGACATCCTGGTTTTGATTGTGTGGAAATTTATTAACCAAAACTTTTTAATATAGTGGCTTTTATTCTGGGATGTGTCTGTAAAATGAAGATTGATAAACAGGATATAATTATTAAAATTCTCAGAGGCTGCCTTTGCCTGGCTTTATGATTCCTTTGCTTTTCTTTATTCCCCTTGTTGCAAGGATTAGGGAAAACAATGACTGAATAAGAAATGTTACTTAAAAATAATATTCAAGAGTAATATGTCATATATCTGTAGGTTTCTGGCAGGTTTTGTGTACGGCCAGGCTGCAAGGACAGGCTCCACTCCAGCCCATTTCCGACTCATTGCTGAGGAACTGGTTTACTTGTATGCTTATATCTTCTGCATTTACCATCATGTACAGAACCAGTCCGACAGACTTTTGAAGCCAGTGGAGGTGTTATCTGAAGAATAGCTGTAGGATGTTGAGCTGAGAGACTTCAAATTGTTACCACCGCTTTACATGCTAAACGGTCGTTTTTATGTTTTGTTTCTGTTAGAGTAAGGATGGGAAGAGCCCGCTGCACATGACAGCTGTCCATGGGAGGTTCACGCGGTCGCAGACCCTCATTCAGAACGGTGAGTTTCTGTGCCTGTTTAACAACTCTACAAAGATTAGGCATTTCCAAGGTTGCAATTTTTAGTTGTTCTTCAGCGTGCCGAAGGACTGCTCTGAATGCTGCTTAGCTCTCCATCAGCTTCTGGCTTTGAGCTGCAATGACAGCTCTCATTCCAGCGTGTCATCACAAGTTGAGATTTTGGTTGTTAACAAAATCTCATGTTCCTCCAGCTGATCTGTTGTGATTCTTAACCTGAAAACAAGAGTTCAGAGCTGTATTTAGGTCTTTTTTGTGCTGAGAAGCAGGCACAGCTTTCTTTCTCAAATTGTTTAAAAACTAAAAGAAGAAAAAGTTTCTAGTTGTCCTCCCTTGGGAGCCCTGGTATTCTTAGAGCTCAGACCATTCTCTCTACCCTCCACTCAGCAGCCGTACTTCTCTCACCTCCCTTAGCTCCACCTCTTGCCACTGTCTTCGTTAACTGTTGAATAAATACTCAGGAGGGTGACCCAGCACCACCTTGTTTGTTCTGGCATAGCCAGATAATCAGTCGTTTGTCAGGTATCTCTTTTGTCCAAGAATGCTACAGAGTATGACAAATATTGTTGTTGGAGATCTGGCAGAGGCCTGTTTCCGATTGACAGAGGTTGCTGTTAATGATTGTTTACTTACTCTTCCCAGCTTTGGCCCTATACCAGAAAGGATGGTCTGGGGTTTGTTGCTTGGTTGGTTTTTTTTTGTTTGTTTGTTTTCCAAAATCCCAAACTTGGAACTTAAGTGCGAGATGTTGAAGATGACTGAACGGTTGCACTGTAAATGTAATGACACTTACATGTACACGAGATTGTATTTTGAAATGGACATTTTCAGCGTATCATATTTCTTTCAGGTCGTCATGCAAATTGTCATATCTCTCTTTGGATAAATAAAGTAGTAATAATAAAAGAGTTTGGGCAAACTAGAAGAAACTGTGCTTTAAAGCAGTTTTTCATCGTTTAGACAAATATGCTCTCTGATTTACAGCTGTTGTTTGCTCTCTGTTGGATTTGTGTCTGAAAGGACTGGCAGTTCTTCATCTGTCCTTCACGCCTCTCTACTCTTCTTCAAGTTTCACTTCTTTCTTTCTTCGTTTACTGCCCCTCTAATTTTAGTATTGTACACAGATCTGATTGTGAATGACTTTATGCCTCATTGCCATGGGATATTGTGGAAGAGAGAAATGTCAATGATTTAAAGAAATGGAGTTTCTTTCTGCAGTACTTAATGAGTTGGCTAAAGATGTCTCAATTTCTGGCTGCCGTCTGTAGCGACTTGGAGAGGAAGAATGGATTACCTTAAAATTGGAAAACTTGCAAATGCGATACTTGTCTTTAAAAATGGGGAAAAATAAAAAGCTGGAGAATCTTGCATAGATCAGCCCAAAATTCTGAAATGAACGAAAGAATAAACCGTTTGTAAACACCTAGGGAGGAATGAGCAATATCTAGCATAGATTTCTCAAGACTAAAAGATGCTGAAACATCAAAATTCTCTTCTACAGCAGGGTAATAGGCTTTGTGAACACAGCACAGTCCTCTGGGCAGGTAATGTTTGTGGAGACCTCTACTTGATGGAGGCAGCACGCCAGGGAACCTGTTCAGCATTTCACTTACCTTTATTTACCGTTACAAAATGCTGTATAGTGCTTTGCTAGGAGTTTTCTTGTTGCTCTTATGGCCTGTTATCTCTTGTGAATAGTCGACATGCAGTAAATTTTACCATATCCTGATGTTAGCAAGACTTTTTACATGCTTTCATAAAGTATCCTCATAGCAAACTAGTGGAGGACTAAAGTATTACAATGTTGGTGCATAACTAGTTGAAAAACTGCGCTCAGAGATTAGTAATAAATGGATTGTTGTTGAAAAGGAGGGTGTAGTGAGGGAGTTTTCGGTTTCCCTCCTGGGTCTGGAACTGTCCAGTATTTTCATTAACAACTTGGATAGTGGAATAGAAAATGTGTTTTTAACATTTGGAGAAAACATGAAGTTGGGAGAGATTGTTAGTTTGGCAGAAGATAGAGTCAGAACAGAAAATGATCCTGTAAAATTGGAGACAGAAGTTATAACGCGAGTGAAGCAAAGGAAGGATCCCCCACACAGGCAGGAGTATCAGTTGGACAAGTTCAGAATGGCAACAGCAGGTGGGTGGTGATTCCTCAAGAAAGGACCTGGGGCTTGTAGAGGACCAGAAGTTTGTTGACCACAAGTCAACAGTGTCATGGTGCTTTAAAAAAAAAAAAAGATTAACAATGTGCATGGTGCTGTACACTGTAGAGGAGTGTATAGATAGGAGCATAGCCAGCAGGCGTGAATTAATCCTTTTGCTCAGCTCAGCATTGGGAGATGTCAGCTGTAGTACCGTTTCTGGCTTTTGACATTTTACTTCCAGAAGGATGTGGGCCAACTGGAGAGGGAAGGACGAGAATAGCTGAAGTGCAGCAAACCTGACTTACAAGGAGAGACTGAAAAAATTACAGTTCCTTGGTCCGAAAAGAAAACAAGGACTTGATAGCAATCTTTGCATGGATCAAAAGCCACAGCAGAGAAGAAAGAAGGAATCTATTTTTCCTGCTTATGAGGATAAAACATGAGATGACAGGCTTAAATTGCAACAGGAAAAGTTCTACTTAAGCACTGTTTGGTTCCTCTTTGGTAAGACATGGAGAAGGCACACCACACGCCTGTTTGCAGTGTGTTCCTGCTGGCCTCTTGAACGAGCTCTATTTAACATTGTTGTCTTACAGGTAAGGCTGAGTGGCAATGCCTTTATGACTGAGGGCATAGTTTCAGCACTTCATTTTGTTAGTTTAATTCAAGGCATCCATTTGTACCTTTAGGTGAGCAGCAAGTCTGAATCCTACTTGACCCCTGCATGTCATCCTGTTCACCTATTTCCCACTGTTTTTTCCCACCGCTGCAGTTGAAGAGGGAGGTGAAAATGCTGCTGCCAGACCACGTTCAATAGGAGTGACTGGCAGCTGACAGCCTCCTGTGTGCTGGCTCTTGGTCTCTGAAATTTAGTGTGTCTGTGGCTGGACTGGTTATGCTGTATTCGCTAGAGAGAAATAACGTTTGTGGTCACTGGTTCGTGCTTAATCTTTCAGTGTTGAGCTGTATGAAAATGTCTTTTGCAGGAGGGGAAATCGACTGTGTTGATAAGGATGGTAACACCCCTCTGCACGTGGCTGCAAGATACGGACATGAGCTTTTGATTAACACCCTCATAACCAGCGGAGCTGACACTGCCAAGTAGGTAGCTGAGGTGGAGCTGTTTCTAATGATCATGGAAACACAGTTACTCCTCAGGTTCTGAAGTGTGAAGGTTAAAATGTCAAGAGAAAATAGCAAACCTGAAGGTAAACAGAGAGGTGTAAGACCAGAGTAATGCAATGCCATGAGGGATATCTGTACCAGGTGTTTAATAGCAATATCTGATCTCAGGAATGTAGGTTTTCAGCAATTACCTCCACACGTCTCCAAAATACGATTTAAGAGTGTTCTACCTAGAACCTACCATGGAAATTAGTGACTTCTCTTAACTTACCTAGTTAGGAGAATCTGCTTTCAGATGCGAATGAGCTGGTTTCTATCCTGACGATAACTTGCAGGTCTCAGTATTCTGTTTTCTTGATGATGTTTAAGAAAATGGCGCATTTGCCCATGTTCTTTTATCGAGTACGTCTGTCACCATGCAAACTTGGACAGTGGAACAGATCTTCGCTTGACAAGGATAATGTAATTCCACAGACTTCAGCTAACATCACTAGATTTTATTAACATAGGCAGCATGAAGATCTTGGTATCTAAATAGATGTGTATTTTTCCTAGCTCTTTTTCTGGTACAGTAAGTCTCTGTCTTGTCTTGAGGTTTAAACGGAAAGTGAGATGCCATGGGATAGCTCACTCTTGGAATCAAGGTTATCCAGTTAGAAATTTCTATTTCACACTTGGGTGACTGGAAAATGGATCGAATAAAGTACTTTTTCCTAGCAGCAGAAATAAGTGAAATAGGAAGTTGGCTCAGACATACCGGGTGGATCCAAACGGTGCTACTGTCTGTCCTAAACAAGGAGCATTGAAACGCTGGGAATGGGCTTTCATATGTGCTGCACGTAAATAACTCTGGCTGAGCTCCCTGAACTGGCTTTGAAAAGAAAATTCTGCAGCGTTGTTAGCAACAACTGCAGACAGCTCAGTCAGTCTTAGAGGCAACTGCATTTAAAGGGGGTAGTGTGTAAGTGATGGGAGGAACCAGCGTGAACAGTGCTATAGAAGTGTGACACTGGTTAGCAGATGTGCAGATAGTGTATTTCCATGGAAACCAGCCAAAACATGTACTGGGTGGAAATCTTGACCTAAAAGAAGAAAAATGTTGCTTTAGATAACTAAGTGGTGGAGGAGAGAGAGGGAAATGGGTGTAGGAAGAAGCACAGCAATACACAATATCCAATGTTAGCTTAAATAAATGAATCCACAGCTAAAAAATGCAGCTTATTTATACAGATGCAGCAGCTTGGTGGAACTTGTGCTGTGTCCTTCAAAGAATAGGCTGTCATATCGTCTTTTAATAGATTTACTCTAAGATGTAGATGCTGACACTAGTAAAATTAAAATTTGTGCAGTACCACAACTCACTTCTTAATGTAGTGAAGCAGCAAAGAGGACATAAATAATGTGAAGACAG